GAGAAAACAGTGCAACAATGAATGAATGAAAACCCAAAATCTCTGTAAATGTTCATTGAAACTAATAAAATTTAATTTAAAAAAAGAAACTTACTTTAGACACAAAGACAAAGACAAACTTTAAATCAAAAGGTGGGAAAATATACAAAGCTAACAATTTTTTGGGGAAAAAAGTAGTAGTGGCAATATTAATTTCTGAAAACATTATGCTTCAAGGCAAACAACAGCTTAAGAGACAACTACTTGGCCTACTGACTAGAAGAGATCGATATTTGTTCCCATTACAAAGAAAGGTGATCTGACAGAGTGTGGAAATTATCGAACAATATCATTGATATTGCATGCAAGCAAGAGTCTGCTGAAGATTATCAAAAAGCACAACACGTTTTAAAAAACCCCAACAATCACCAGAGAACTGCCTGACGTGCTGGCTTTATTTAGAAGAGGCTGTGGCACTAGGGATATATATTATGTTGTTGTTGTTAGGTGCCGTTGAGTCATAGACCACTCATAGCGACCCTATGAATGAAAGGCCTGAGCACTGTTCATACATAGTTTCTGGAGGCAAGCCATTCTGGAAGTGGATGCCGCTCCTGCTTCCAGGCTTGTTTTAGTCGAGAAGCTCCAGCCAACACTGTCCACCATGGGTAACCATTATCACGTTTGGCACATCAGAATGTCAAATGGATCTTGGCTGAAAGCAGAGAGTACCAGAAGAATGTCTATCTGTGTTTCATTGACTATGCAAAGGCATTTGACTGTGTGGATCACAACAAACTGTGGCTGACTTTGAGAAGAATGGGAATCCCAGAACACATGATTGTGCTCATGCAAATTTTATTCTTGAACAAGGAGGCAGTTGTCAGAACAGAGAAAGGAAACACTGCATGGTTCAAAATTGGGAAGGGTGTATGCCAGGGATGTGTCCTATCTTCATATCTTTTCAACCTATATGTGGAAAAGATTATCTGAGAGGCTGGGCTCTATAAGGAGAAGTGTGGCATCAGGATTTGAGGTAGACTCATCAACAATCTGTGTTCTTCAGTTAACACAACCCTGATTGCTGAAACTGAGGAGGACCTGAAGCACTTGCTGCGGAGGGTCAAGGACTACAGCCTCCAATATGGATTGAATAAGATTGGCACAGGATAGAGCAGGGTTTAGGGCTGTTGTACTCAAGTCACAGGTGACTCAACAGCACATAACAACAACATGTGTATATGCATACCTTTATGTGTAGGCATATATATGACGTGTGTTATATATTAGCACATGTGTTAACAGGAATATATTAATATATTTTTTAACAATTTCATTAATATGACATGCAAGCACAACCTTACTGATGATTACTGATTATGGTACAGTATGATGACAGGAACTGCCAGAAACTCAAGGTGGACTCAGAAGAGGGCATGGTACAAGGGATATTATTGAGGATGTCAAATGGTTCTTGACTGAAAGCAGAGAATGCTGTAAATATAATCATTTGTGTTTCATTGATTATGCAAAGGCATTTGACTGTGTGTGGATCATTACAGATTATATCTAACATTGAGAAGAATAGGAATGCAGAACACTTAATTGTGCTCATGTAAAACCTATGCATAGACTAAGAAGTAGTTATCAGAACAGAACAAGGGATCCGAGCATTGTTTAAAATTGGGTAATGTGGGCAGAAGGGTGGTATCCTTTCGTTATATCCATTCAATCAGTATACTGAGCAACTCATTGGAGAACCTAGACTATATGAGGAAGAATATGGCACCAGGATTGGAGGAAGACTCGTTATCAACTTGCATTATGCAGATGACACAATCTCCCTTGCTGAAAGTGAGGAGGATTGGAAACACTTGCTGGCTACAAAAGACAAACAAAACAAAACAAAACAAAAAACACTATAACCTTCAATATAGAAAGAAAACAGAATCTCTCACCACTGGACCGATAGACAACGTCATGAGAGACAGAAGAAAGATTGAAGTTGTCAAGGATTTCATATTACTTGAACCCACAATCAATGCCCATGGCAGTGGCAGTGGAAGGGGGGAAGCGGATAAAAACGTGTGTTTATTTCATTGGGAAAATCTATTGTCAGGGACCTCTTTGGGTGCAAAAGAGTAAAGAAATCACTTTAAAGACTGAGGTGTGCATGGTCAAAAGCATGCTATTTTCAGTTACTTTCTATGCATCTGTAAGTTGGACAATGAATAGGGAAGACTAAAGAAAAATCCGTTCCTTTGAACTGTGGTGTTGTCAAAGAATATTGACGACACCAGTGACTGCCAAAAGAGCAAATTGGTCTTGGAGGAAGTGTGTCACATTTTCTCTCACCTACTTTGGACATGTTGCCAGAAAGGGCCAGTCCTTGAAAAAAAAAGACATCCTGCATGGAAAGATGGAGGGTCATAGAAAGAGAGGAAGACTTTCAACAAGATGAACTGACACAGTGACTGTGACAATGGGCTCGAGCCTAACAGAGCAGACTCAGTGACACCTAATACTGTAGTACTGCACAGAGACGATGGTAGAGGGTATTCTTGTCTGGGACCTGTCTGCAAGGTACCTTTAATTTCTTTCTTTTGAGAGTCATGTTGACTAATGCTTTGGTTTATGCACTCTCAATTATGTTGTGAAATTTCCCTTCTATTCATATTCTATTAAGCATTTTTATCAGAATGGGCTGTTGAATTTTGTCAAAACTTTTTTTCTCTTTTAAAGTGGTGAATTAAAGTGATTTTCTCCTCCGTTAGGTCAAATCATCTTTGTCTTTTTTTGTTGTTTGGTGCCATCAAGTCGACTGTGACTCACAGTGACTCTATGAGGAGCAGGTGGAAACCTTGCCCTGTCTTGTGCCATCATCACAATCTTTGTCATGTTCAAGCCCATCGCTGCAGTCACCGCGTCAGTCCATCTATTTTCCTGATCCTTTCTACCTTTCTCTGCATGCTATCTTTTCACAAGTACTGGCCCCTCCTTCCCCCATCCTTGCTCCTAAGAAATGCTCTAGTTGCACTCCTTAGAAGATAGATGTGTTTGTCCTTCTTTGCAGCCCCTGGGATATTCACTACTCCTTACCAGTACCACAAGGCATCAATTCTTCTTCAGTCTCCTTTAACTGTCTAACTTTCAAATCCATGTGAAACAATTTAAAATACCGCGGCTTCCAGCTATCCCACTACCGGGAATATACTCTAAAGAAACCAAAGCCATAAGGCAAACAGATGTATATACATTCATGTTTATTGTTGCGTTATTCACAATAGGAAGAGAAGCAGCGCAACTGCCCATCAGCAAACAAATGGATAGAAGAATTATGGTACATTCATACAATGGAATATTATGCAGTTTGAAAAACAATGATCTGTAACGCACTACACAACATGGATGAGTTTGGAAGACATTATGCTGAGTTAAATATCTCAGTCACAAAAGGACAAATATTACCTCCTAAGAGGCCATCACCATGGATATGCTGAGATTGGACCTTAAAATGCTTCGCTTCAGGGTCGCTGGAAGGTGGCATGGCAGTGGGTCAGCAAAGGGAGCTGTCTCAAGTGATGCCAGGAGTCAAGGTGAGGACTCTTGATGAGAATAGACGGTACTACCCACTTAAACAAAGACGGGACTCCTCCAGAGTCTAGTTGGATCCTGTTGGGACACAGCACAGGAATCAGCCTCTCTCCCCCTCCTCTATCAGCCTGCATGTACTGACACAGGGAGGAGGTGGGCTCGGTGCCACTGACCTGGGCCAGAAACCCCAGGACTTTCCTCTCGCTGGTTTCTGTGTGGGCTCTCAGGCCCCACAAGAATTCATAGCGGGCAGGATGGCTATTGGGCACTAACTTGACCTTCAGGTACTTATTCTGTGCCCAGACTTGAGTGAAAAGTCTCTGAGGATCTCCATAACATGTAGACCCATCATACCCAGTGCCTCCCAGATCTTCTTTCTCACTGGTACAGCTGCCTTCCAGGAAGATAATGCACAGAACCATGATCAGGACGGAGTTCTTGGCAAGCTAAGGGCACCACGTTGGAGCATTCTGTCATAGGTAAGGCCTGAGGAGGGGCAAGGACATAGGTGTGGGAGATGAGATTCACTTCCTTCACATCAACACCCAAAAGTGGCTGCATGACTTCCAGGGCCTTCCCAAAGCTGTCAGGGAAGTGCCTCTGGAACCTTCTGATGACCAGAGCCAGAGTGTCTGCCTTCATGGTGGGCTCCTGCCTTTGATACTTGGTGAGCTGGAAATTCACCAAAAGGCCCACCTTCTCATGCAGCTTCTGTCTGTGTTTAGAATGAGGCAGGGCCCTTAGAGGGCTGGTGCCTTCCTGCACATGGCTGCGGCTGGTGTCCTCAGCAGAAATGGGCACTGCTGTGGCTACAATGGCCCCTGGGGGGGAGCCAGCACCCTCTGGTTTCTGGAGCGTTCTAGGTGCATCCACAGTGCCCCCCCCTTCTCCTGGGATTCTGGGATCAGGGGAGACAAGGAAGAGGAGGGAATGGAGGCCTTTGCAGTTACCTTCAGCACCTTGAATCTCTACCCCTTCCAGCCCCCAGCCTCCAGCCATGAGATCTTGCACCATCTTCCAGTGCTCATTCTTCTGACCAAGAGGCGTATTGAATTGTGCTGGGAACCACAGGTATAAAGTAACTGGTGGGAACCCTCAGGAAAGGAAAAAGGGGAGTGTGGATGAGCTTAGCAGATAAAGTCAGCCTCAATGGTTCTGACAAACACGTTCTTCAAGTCCTCTGCCCTTCAAGTTATCTGTCCTCTGATCAATCTGTCCCATAAAACTCTGAAGGAAGAAATGACTCAGCTTCTCAGATGACTCCAGAGACTCCTAGCTGCACAGTGGGGGACATGGGTAATTGTGGGTCACATCACTTCTCATCCTTGGTGGGTAGGATCTTGCTGTATGTTCAAGGTCCTCACCCACCTGGCAGAACACGGATTTCCCCTCTAGTGACATCACGTCACTTTGTCCAGCCAGGCCCTCTCCTCCCTACACCATCCTTGCTCAAACCCATTCTTACAATCACTGTGTGAATCTGTCTTGTTGGGAGTCTCTGACCCTCCATCTTTCCAAGCATCATGTCCTTTCCCAAGAACTGGCTCGTCCTGACAATACGCCCAAGGCCTAAGAGAGAGAGAATGTCACCATCTTTACCTCGAAGGCTTGGTTGCACTTCCTCCGAGACAGACTTATCTGCTCTTTGCCAGTCCATGGGATACTGGGCCCTCTTCTCTTGACTGATTGTCATCCTTAGTCATTGTCCAACTTTCAGAGACATAGCAAGTAATTGGAAAGACTAGGCTTGGATCAAGCACTCTCTAAACGGACATTCTTGCTCTTTAGCACTTGAAAGAAGTCTTTGACAGAAGATTCTCCCAATGCAGCACATCTTTTGACTTTTTTTGACTGTTGTTCCCCTGGGTGTTGATTGTGGATTCAATAAAATAAAGTCATTGACAGTTTTAACGTTTTCTCCATCTCGGATGCTGCCTATTGGTCCAGTGGCGAGGATTTTTGTATTCTTGACATGAGATGCAATCCATATTGAAGGCTTCAATGTTAGTGAGTGCTTCAAGTCTTCTTCACTTTCACAATCAAGGTCATGTCGTCTTCATAGTGAAAGTTATTGATGAGTCTTCCTCTAATCCTGATGCCACGTTCTCTTTCATGGAGTTCAGTGTCTCAAATAATTTGCTCAACATAGTAATTAAATAGACATGGGGGGGAAGACACAACCCTGATGCACACCTTTCCCAATTTTAAACCAAATTTGAAAATTTTGTCTTATTTCCTTGCTTTGTTCACACAATAGCCTCTTATTCTAGGTATAGGTTTCACACAGCACAATTTGGTGTTCTAAGATTACCATTCTTCTCCATGTTAGCCATAATTAGTTACAATCCACACAATCAAACACCCTTGCATATTCAATGAAACACAAGGAAACATCTTTCTGGTATTATCTGCTCTTAGCCAACATCCATCTGACCTCAGCAATGATAATCTCTCAATCCATGGCCTTCTCTGAATCCAGCTTGAATTTCTGGTAGTTCTCTGTAGACGTACTGTTCCAACCTGTTTTAAAATAATCATCAGTAAGATTTTACTTTCATATTAATAATTGTTGTTGTTTTGTTGTTGATTTCCTTTGAGTAGAGCGTGACTCATAATGACTCTATGAACAAAAGGCCTAATGCCTTTCCATAACTGTCGTCATTTCATCAAGTTCATAGAATATCTAGAGGCATGTGCTTTAGGAAGTGGATGCCAGTCCTGCTTCCAAACCTGTTTTACAGCTGGGAGCTCCACCAAACACTGTCCACATTGGGAAACCATTCTGGTATTTGATACCCCAAGGGCACAAGGTTCAGCATCACAGCAATCAGGTTCCTTGATACAGCGCATTGACAAAGAGTGATGTACAAAGTGGAAGACTGTTCCTCCAGATATAACAGCAATAGTTTCACTTAGCAGTGGTTGGTTAAGTGTCATCAAGTCAAATACAACTGAGAGTAAGTTTTGCACAAAAAAATCTAAACTCTGTTCTATAACTAACATCATTTCTGTACATTTAAAGAGTTTCGAGAGTTTGTAGAGTTCCCAGAGGCATTTGGTTTTAGGAAGTGGATGCCACTCCCGCTTCCCAGCATAAATCAATCTGGAAGCTCATCCAAACACTGTACATAATGGGAAACCATTATGTTTTTGACAACACTATGGAACAGTGTACAGCATCACAGCAACACCAAGTTGTTCAGTTCAGCAAATAGACAAAAAGATTGCTGTGTCATTCAAGGAAGATTAATTCGAAAATTAATAAATTTGGCCTGAGGACCACAGACCAAAGCCTTTGAGCAGCCTTAAACCCCAGGCAAGGCTTGAGGCACCCAGAGTGCAGTGTTCCAGGCCTACCTCTGCCGGAAGGCTTTTCCCAACAACCCCTGTGGGTTTTTTGTTTTTTGTTTTTTAACAGGATTCATTTGCTCATTTATTTACTTATTCATCAAATCTGCCCACACATGGCAGATACTGCTACACATGGTGGTGCGTGGTGAACACAACCAGGCCTAGTCCCTGTCTTTACGGAGATTACAGTTTGGGAATTACAAAGCCCTGTGGGGTTTTAAGCAAAAGCCTTTGAGCGGACTTAAACCCTAGGTAAGGCTCAGGGTCGTCCACTCTTGGGGGGAAAAGAGCAATAATGCATATCAAACGTGACTTCAGAAGAAGCATGACTCCAAAAACTTCGCTTCACTTGCAAATCCAGACCAGCATTTGCAAGCGGCAAAAAGCCACACGCCCAGAGAGGAGTCTTTCAGGCCTACCTCTGCCAGCAGGCTCCTTCCAACCCCTGTGGAGTTTTAAGCCAAGGCCTTTGAGCAGACTTAAACTCTAGGCAAGGCTCAGAGATGCCTGGTCTTGGGGGAAAATGAGTAATAATACACATCAAACACTACCCCAAAGAGACACGACCCAAAAAAACTTCCCTTCACTTGCCCATCCAGACCAGCATCTGCAAGCAGCAAAAAGCTGCTTATTAATATTAATCAGATTAATATTAATATCAAGTGTTGAGGACTCTCCTTCATAGGGTAACTATGAGTCACCTGCGACTCTATGGCACTTAACAACAACAATATTAATATAGTATTATACATGCATCTATTAATATATTCTTTATATATTAATATTATTCATATTAATCATTTTAATATCATAGTAATGATACTGTTTTATAATTTCCACATTCTGTTGGATCACCAGATTTCTGCAGTGAGTTGGCCTGGTAGCAGTCTTCCAAATTTCTTGACTTACACTAATAAATACATCCAAAGCTGTGTCTGTTTGTTGAAAAACGTCAATGTAATGGATCAGGAGGAGGGCTGATGAGCCTGAATGAATGAATGTGCATTATAATTAACAATCTGGAAGAGGACATGCATAACTAATCAAATGAGGAGGATAGTTGAAGGGCAGATTATTTGTTGTTAAGTGTCATCAAGTTGAGTACAACTCATAGCAATTCTATGAACACCAGATTTGAACTCTGTCCCATCCTGTGCCATCCTCACCATGTCTGACACACTTGAACCCATTGATGCAGTCATTATACCAGTTAATCTTGTTGAGGCTCTCCCTCGCTTGCTGACCCTCCACCTCTCCAAGCATGATGTCCCTCTTCAAGGAATAGCCTTTCCTCGCAACATGCTCAAAGTATGTGAGATGAAGCTTTGCCGTTTTTGCCTCAAAGGAGCAATCTGGCTTCATCTTCTCCAAGAGATGCCTGTTTATTCTTTTGGTATACCATGGAATACTCAGTACTCTTCTCCAACATTCCCACTCAAAGCAGAGAGAGAGGAGGAATACATTAATAAGGGAAGGTTTACCCACAGATAGAAACAGTTTGGAGAGTTGACAAGCTGTGGCAGGATGGGAGGAAGATGGAGCAGAGATTAGTGAATGAATGGGTAAGGTGAAGAGAAATAGAGTACAGTGAGATTTTGATAGGACTTTGCAAATAACAGAAAACAATTGTAATTATTGTTATAAAACAAAATGAATCACTGGATGAAATTAAATTTAGAGGAATGAAATACAGAAATTCAAGCTGATGGGGGGAAGGAAGCAAAACTACAGGCTATCACTGGAAGATAGATTGTTGTGGTGGTTGTTGTTAGGTGTCATCAAGTCGAGTATGACTCATAGGGAACCTATGAGCAAAAGACCTGAACTCTGTTCTATCCTGAGTCATCTTTACACTTCCTGACACAGAAGAGTCCATTGCAGTAGTCACCATGTCAATTCACCTGGTTAAGTAAGGGTCTTCCTCTCTTTCTCTGGACCTCCACCTTTTCCAGAATCTTGTCCTTCTCCAAGAAATGGCCTCTCCTTGAAACATGCCCAAAGTATGTGAGGTGAAGCCTCACCTTCTTGCCTCCAAAGAGCACTCTGGCTGCACATTCTTCAAGACATATTTGTTCTCTTGATATCCATGGGATGTTCAGTACTCTTCTCCAACACCACCGCTCTAGGACATCAATTCTTTTTCTGTCATCCTTATTCATTGTCCAGCTCTCAGAAGCATAGCAAATGATTGGCAAAACTATGGCCTGAATCATATGCACCTTAGCCCTTAAACTGACATCATCATACCTCAATAATTTAGAGAGGTTTCTAAATTCAGATTTTCCCAGTGCAATGTGTCTCCTTATTTCCTGACTGCTGGTACAAAAGATGTTAATGTATGGGAATGATCATATAAAACACAATATGAATTTAAAAAAATAAAGCATTTTAGGACATAAATATTTCTTGTGGGACGCTTTTGCTGATTGATCTAATATTCCATTTTATGAATGAATCATGACCTCTTTATCCATTGATAGGTGCTTGAGTTGGTCCCAATTGTGTCATAGCCTGAATGTCTTTCTTCTGTACTAAATAGTACTTGACTACGTGCTACCTCTTTTTTTTAATTATTATTAAATTTTATTAGTTTTAATGAACATTTACAGAGATTTCTGGGTTTTCATTCATTCATTGTTGCACTGTTTTCTCCACCCTCATCC